TTTTGAAAAGATTAAGAATAGCTAATTTGGTTCAGCTAATGTTTGTGTGAAAATGCCCTGCTTTGAATTGGTTTTTGGGCGGCCATTGATGTATTCTCTCTCCTGAAACAGAGGTAACTAGGATACTTGACTGAGACAACAGCACTTAGAATTGATGGACTGAAGTTAAAACTTTATTTTTAGGTGTTTTATTCCAAGAACCTTTATTTGCTCCTGGCATCATATTGTCAATGTTTTGGAGTGTTCAAGTGCAAGGGCCTTTAAAGAGCAAGTGTCTTAAAGGAAGTTGCCCTCTGAATACACATATGAACCTCCCAAGTGATGACAGTGGTCAGAAGCAATTTTTTCCAGTTAAGAAAGTGCCTAAGACATCAGTAAAATGTGTAAGGAATGCACAAGATAGGTGTCATACGTTTTGTCAATTTACAAATGGAAACAAAAAAGCAGAAACCTTTCAAGGCTGAGGCTGAAAATCTTGCCATAGCACTTCAAGTAACTAGCTGAAATGAGATTGATTGTGGACTGATAGCTGAATGTGGATTGATTCAGCTGTAGGTATTGTAAAATACTCACAGGAATTATAAGAAAACAAATATTCTTATTCACTGACTTTTTAAAAACCAAGCTGGAAAAAAGCACTAGTTAATTAGGACAACAAAATTTTGGCCCAGTGCACAGTGAGGATAGCTGAATTCCCTAATATCCACCTGACTCTGATATTCCTTTTTCCCCTCACCTCTTTCTTTTCCTTCCCTTTGTGGTCTTTTTACACACACACACACACACACACACACACACACACACACACACACACACATTGCACTTCTGCAATTCCTTCCCCTGCTCTGTCTCCTTTGCCTCACTCTGTCCTCAGCCATTTTTTCAAGAGGTCTTTAAAACATGCTTTGCTTTTGTAAACAGAACTTTTGCTTCTCTAGAGAGGTATTGTGCTTCTAACATAGAAATGATTCTGGAAATGTAATATAATATGTAGTATCAGTATGGGAAAGATTATACTTATGCCTGTGTTAACATTGTGAACATGCCAGGTGTGAGCTAGGTGAATCCAAAAGCCTTATCCAACTCTATATTAAATGAGAACTCATAGAGATGATAGAAACGATATGCCTTCACGCCAACCAACCCACTAAGCAATGTTTCAGACTAATACTAGATTTGCCAGAAAATGCAGTTTCAGTCAATCCCACAACATACTTAACACAAATTTGCCAAATAGTTTCAACCAGGCTGGGTGGGAGTGTGTGTGGGGATGTGTTAGATTCACAAAACAGCCAGTGATGAGTGTGTTTTTGAATTTCTTTCCTCTCTCCCAGGTTAAAGTGGCGAGGAGTCCTGTGGCGCCTTACAGACTAACCAAAGTGTTGGAGCATAAGCTTTCGTGGGCAAAGACCCACTTTGTCAGATACATGTAGTGGAAATTTCCAGAAATTTCCGGAAATTTCCACTACATGCATCTGACAAAGTGGGTCTTTGCCCACGAAAGTTTATGCTCCAACACTTTGGTTAGTCTATAAGGTGCCACAGGACTCCTCGCCACTTTTGCAGATTCAGACTAACATGGCTACCCCTCTGATACTCAACTCCTCTCCCAGGTAACTAGCTTAAACACCTAATTCTCCCACTGTTGGCCAATGATTAGTAAAGTATTGCACACAAAGTTCAGTGATGAGATGGCAAGCCCATCCTCAGGACAGCCTATAGACCAGTAGTTAGAAAATTGTCTTGGGTGTTAGGAGATGCAAATTCAACCCTCCTTCATTATGCAACAAGGAATTTGAACCTGGGTCTCCTGGGCAAGTATTCTGAGTTAAATTACAGTATTGGTATCCTACCACCTTCTCATTACGTTTTGTACTCTAAAATAGTTGAAAATAAACCCATTTAGGTAAATAATGTTTTGTTTGACCCAAGGCAGTATTTTAATTTAATTTAATTTAATTTTACTTTATTTTTATTTTATGATTTGCTGAAATTTTTCAGAAATTTTGGCTATGGATTGGGTTGAACCAAAATCTTTTTTGAACCTTCCAGTATTCAAAAAAGCTCTTCACCCAGCTTAAGTGCTTTGTAAACATTTATTCATATAAAAGTTGACAGTAAGGCTGCTACTAAGGAAACTATCAGGTCAGTCTTGTCTCAATTTGTTTACAGCCTAGAAGGAAAATATATACAGATGCACTAGAGGACCAGAAGGAGGAGTTACTGTTGCTAAAGTGTGTGTGTGTGTGTGTGTGTGTGTGTGTAATTCTCATTATAAACCTGATTTTACAAGTGCTATCTATGTGGTTTGGGGAATTTTTCAGTCTTCTGAAGTAATCAGCTTCGGGGCGGGGGGGAGTTATAAAGACCTATAAAGGCATATGGACATAGGGAAGTATCTGTGTCAAGCATGCCTCTCCCTCTTCTGCAATGTTGGTAGATATATTTTGGCAAGGAAATGTTTTCAATAAAATGTACATTTATTATCAAACTTACAGCCACAGACTGTGCAGAAGAAATGTGGGCAAGCCCAAATAGGCTTTGATAATTGTTGTTCATGGATTCAAGTATTTTTCTTAGCAACTCACTTCTCTGAAATTTTCAGTGAACCAAGTGAAATTAACATATTCATATGACACATTCTTATTATCTTAGGTATGTAATATTCATTTGGGCCACATGTTTTTTTTTTTTAATTTAAAATATGCATTCAATATAGACTATTCTCCTTGACATGGTTCCTTTTGCCCAGCATCCTTTGCATTCTGTACAGGACAAATGAGTAAAAGACAGGTTGGCTGCAGTAATAATATGGTTTAATGTGTTCATTTAATATAATAGTAGAAAGGGATTGTTCTAGATAATGATTTTCTATCTTCACCTGCTTATGTATTTGTGGTTTTGCTCTTAGTACTAACATTCATGAACACTAAACTACAACATGTTGCCACGAGTCATCTAATGTTACAAAAATGATGGTGCATAGTTTTGGAATTCAGCTATTATCTGCCCTATTAATATGCTGGAGGGCATAGAGCAGAAGGGGCCTTCCCCTGCTTGTATCTTGGTGCAGTGAGTAGGCAAGTAGCATTGCTGGATAGCTGCTACAGTGGCTCTAGCTTTCCCAGATGGTCCCATTTCCAACACCACACTAGCTAAGTTGGAGTGACCCCTGAAGAACACACACAGCCTCCCCTCCAAGAACGCAAACAGCTATACTACCACAAGGCTACTGGAAGCAGTGACTACCTAAGGTCAATGTCTCCAGGAGCTCTCGGTGAGTGCTACAGCTCTGAACACGCCTACCCATTTCCAGTACGTCTAGAGAAAAGCCCTAGCAACTGCAAATTCTGTAAGGTTACTTGTAGCCAGTGGTGCCAATTTAAATCCTGAATCTGGAAAACACAGCTTAAGAATTATATCTCTAGAGGTCTCCAGACAGTTGCCCTAGACAAGACTCTCTGTAACACTGGTACTTCTACTTACGCCCTTTTAAGTATGCAGTCATGCCCTATAATTCCTGCGATTTAAGTCCAATATGGGCTTTCCCATTCATTTTAAATTGCCACTTACTTTTTTTGGGGGGGGGAGGGTGAAGGAGAGTGATCATTTCATATAATAATTTACTACAGACAATCATAATAAACACACTCACAGTAAATTAACATTGTTCACTGTTAGATATGAAATTCTTTGCAAGGTCATGATTGCACATAACATTATAGAGGAATGAAAAAGCATTGCCAAGAAAACACAAACATAAATTAAAATTTCTTAATTTATGAGACATAGATAAATAATGATTTGCAACATCCACGGATATCATGTGGCTTTGTTCATATTTTAATAGTTTACTCCTCTTTGCAGTTTCAGTAATTAAGTCTTACGACATTTCAGAAAGCATAAATCCTGCTGAGATGTTTAAGTTTGGAGCATCCTCTTGATGTATAATCAAAAAAATAAAATAAAAAAGAAGAAAAAGAAAAAAGACACTTACCCAGGATCTTAACAAGCTGTTTTGCTTTTACCTTTTGAAACACAATTGAATGGTAAAGTAATGTGGTCTGCTCAGACTGTTTTAGTCACATTGCTAACAAACTCCTTTGGAAATTCATTGCCTTCAATTATATTTTTTAAAAGAATTTTAATTATGTGACTGAAAAGAATAAAGATGCTTCAGGCTCCATTTGTTTACCATGGAAGGCCTTAAAAAATGAGGACAGAGCTTCCCAGCTCTTGCAGGGGTTGCAGAGAGAGAGAGAGATGACTTTTAATTCGACAAGTTCAGAGAGATTTCTTAGTTTGACGCGCACAGCAAGGGGTCTTTGAGCGCCTGGCAATACTTCAGCATTCTCAGCTTTGAAAGTCTTTCCCTGCAGCAGAAATTGTATCAAAAGCCAATGATAATATTCCCTGCAAGGTAAAGCACCCTATTGAAGATTTCTAGAGCTGTTTATTTATTCATCACAGTTTTTTCTTTTAGGACATATCAGGCATATAGGTAATAATTCACATAGATGATAGAAAAATGCAATAAATAAATAAATAAATAAAAATGCCTCATTAATAATTTCAGTCTTCCCTTCTTATGCTTCTCCTTAGGCCACATGTATCTATAAAATATGACTGGTGCTTGCTCTATATGTATATATAATACATACATACAATTTGCTACAAATCTCAGTCTTTTCCTGTTTTTAGCAGAATTGTCACATCTGTCAACGTTTGATTACTAGCTGGGTACATCGGATGTTTATGGCTATTTCCTTCATACTAAGCTCCCTAAAGAATTGGTTAATTCTATAGGAGGCTTCTGTTTTTGTGGCCTTCTTTTTACATCTTAATTTTTAAACTTGGTTTCAAGTAATTCGTTTTGAAGCTAAAATTAAAGCTTTATTTATATTCAGAAGGTCTGGTTTTTAATATTTTTGCTTTCCCCTTTATGTGAAAAATATGTACATATGTTTTTCTTCTCTATTTTTGTTTTGTTTTTTCCACAGCACAGCTAGGGCTGTGAGACTACGACAACCTTTCCCTAGTGTAATGTCAACGTCGGCTATCACTTTGGCAGAATCAGCCAGCTCAGTGAAGACTAAAAGAGTCCCTCCTCCTGTGTTTTCATCTGCTGGTGGCATTCAACGTGACCTTGCCTTGTAAATATTGGTGAGTGACCACAAGGGAAAAGCAGTTCCCTGATGAAAAGGAACTTGTTTTAAAAAGCTGTAGTGTCCTGCATTTCTTCACAGGATAAACATTAGGGAAAGTGTCCATGAAAAGCATGAAGGATATGTTTGCTTTTCTAATCATAGCATGGTCTATTTAACTATATTTGTTTCTTTACACCAAAAATCATGTACTGAGATACAGCTAGTAAGAAGTAATCAACGTGTGATCATATTTTTCTTATATAAACCCCTTCCTGGAGAGTGGGGGATAATCTCACCCCTGCTCCCATCCTTGAATGCTAGACAAAAAGTCTGGAATAGCATAAAATGGCTTTTAAACATGAAATCCAGCAGCCAGTGTAGGAGCTAAGGAAGACAACTGCAAGCCACCTTCTGAACTACTGCCTCATGAGCTTCAGTTTAATGGGCATGTGTATAGTGGAACAGCAGCAGTAGTTGCGTCAGAGATTTGGGGCAGTCCACAAAGGCTACTGTAATTTAAGTAGCACTCAGGACTTGCTTAAATAGTGCCAGAGGTCACTAAAGCCTACTTAGCTCCCACTCCTGTCAAAGTTTTGTGCTGCACCTCTAAGAGGCACAGCACAGAATCACACTGTCTGTTTAATAAGATATTAAATATTAAAATCAGATGTGTAGAGAGTGAAAGTCACTCAGGGGTACAGGTACTTCACATATAACACGTTCAAATATTTTTAATGATTTATTAGATAAAAATTGACCTTTTTTAAAGAAAAGTTTGAGTAGTGTCAAATTCAGGGGTGTTGCAAGGAATACATAACTTGGGTATTTTAATTATTAAATCTATAGTGGTTGTCATAAAATAGTAAACATTTGCTCTGTTACCATTCAGTATTATCTGAACTACTACAATGATCTGGATTAACTCCTATTATTATTAAAGGGAAATAACAGTAGTACTTTATTCATTGTTATATGGCAGCGGTGAGTACAGGTTGACATTTTCATGGCTGTAACATACCTATCCTTGAAGTATGCCATTTTATAAATGGATTGTACCAACCTCAGAAAAATGTAGCTATAGGAAATTTATTTCAGCATCAACGAAAAGTGAAACATCATTCCAACACAGGAGGAATTGTTGACTAATGACACCTGTCATTACAGTAATATTGGTAGGCTTTTGGGTAATTTAGCCCCAGCATTGATTCTGAGGCTGCTCGTGACTTTGTTTGGGCTGGTTAAGGAAATAAGCAAAGGAGACCCTGTATTCTGATTGAGGTTGTTTTTAAAATGATAAATAAGTGAAAGAAGGACTAAGTGTAGAGTTGAATCAGTGCATTTTCTGTAGTTGCGTATCTAGTCATATTTTGCTGAGCTGCATTACATTATGCATCTCCTGAGATTTGTATAATGTGAGGGATGACACAGCATGATTCATTAACAGAAAGCATCCCTATTCAGGAAAGCCCATTAGCATGTACCTGAGTGATTTGGGTCCTTATTGGGGAAACTTCCACCATCACTAACACACCTGCAACCATGAATACAATCAGAGGTGCTGCTTGTGTGTATTTGATGTCATAATGTGTCTAGTAGTTGGTGCAGAGATGGATGGTTAATGGTTTGACATTGGCATTCAGCAGGCAGAGGAAATGTAATCAGATTAACCACCAGGAATATGAAAGCTCAGACAGGTAAGAAATTGGAAATAGTCAATAAACAAAATGGGGGATCACGTTACCTTTTTTTTTTTTTTTTTAACTGGAAGAAAATTCTTTAATGTCAATTCTTTGATTCTTTGATGTGGTACGTTTTTCTATTAAAAAGTGATGATAGCAATGGTAGAGTTGTGAGATATTCAGGCAATCAGCTCAGATTTGTTACTTTTTATAAGGAATATAAACAAAGATGAATGGTAGAGATTGGTAATGACTGTACTGTACAATTTACAAATCAGCCACATTGCTAACTTTGTACAGTTTCTTTAAGATAAAAATAAAATTATAGCAGATGTTTCACCAATAGTTTGATACACCTGGATCCTCAGTCTCTCTTTATTACTCCATTTACTGGGTGCATTAATCATAGCTCATTGTTTTAAATTAAGTTAATTATAAAAGCTGTTTCCAGAGCAAGACTGATAGGCTAATAGGTAATTGGTGGATCATATATTCTCCCGGGACTGCTTTTTCTGCTCCTTGAGGTAGTACCTTTAATACTCTAAAGTATATTTCATTAAAATGCCCAAAATCATAGAGCAGCTTTGGACAAACTGGTATGGAAACGGAGTAGATTAAAGTAGCATTATTATTGTTGTCGGTTTATTTCTGGTATAATTAGAGTTAGGTGAACAATGGATTTTTCCATTCAGTGGCAATTTTGAAAATTGTAAGATAACTTCATTTGGGTCAAACCAAAAACAGTTTTTAAATAAATTTGTTGAACTGAAATGTTTCCTTTTGACTTGACTCTGTTTGCTTTTTTGAGGGGTGGGGGTAGGGAGAAAGGAGGGGAAAGGGAATGTGAAGGTGACTCTTTGGCCCAATTGTCATTCAGTGGCAATTCTTAGCCACTAAGCCAGAAAAAAGTGAGAATGATTCCTAAGTCTAGTGACTTGGACACTCACCCCTCATCAGCGAGAATCAAATTCAAATTCCTGCTCCAGTGGCAATTTAGTTGTTGTTGTTGTTGTTGTTGTTGTTAAATCCACTGCTGAAACAGTTTTGTACAGCTCTATCAACAATCATCACCCTACATCTTAAGCTGTGGAAGTTGTTTGTTGTGCTGGCTTGAAAAAGAGAGCAATTCTTGATGGCTTGAATAGGGGAGAGAAAGATGTAAAACTGCTGGAGAAAAGCCAGCTTGGTGGCTGATTCATCATCCAGGAATGAGTGATTTTAAAAGGTCAGTGTGTGCCAGGACCCTCCCTTCTGAATCAGGGAGCAGGACCTACCCTCCCTCTCCATTTTGGTGGTATAGATACCAGGCTATTGACTATATCTGCTGAGTGTTACATTACCCACCCTGTTGATGGGAGTGGGAAAGGAATTTTTTCCTTTCTACCATATTGGTCCATGTGCAGTTGTTTCTTCACCTTCCTCACAGCAGGCACAGGTGGACCTTGATCATGCAGAACATGATGGGTAGTAGGCCATATGTCATAACTCATTTTTAAGTGTATAATGGATGTTCAGGTACTCTACAAAAGAAGGCATACAGTAATAGATAAATGTCTTGAGGAAAGGATTTAAAGAGAAATGCTCAGTAATTGAGCAAGCTAGGGATAATTGGGGACTCCTATGATTAGCATGATATGGAGCCAACCCGCATCATTGTAGTCCACCTTACCCCTTCCCCTGGCAGGGCAGTTGGTAAGGTTGCAGTAATGGATTTGCTGGAGAGATGTGGATGGAAAGAGGGGTAAATGGGTTAAGGGGACTGTAAGATGGAGGGATTGGCTGAAAAAAAGTGCAGGGCGGAGGGCGCTGGCTCTCTGTTAATTATGAGAGGAAAAAAAGGGAAGGTAACCTGCACTACACATGTTATCTGCCAGGTAGTCCCAGACACCTAATAATATAAATTGTGGCCTGATTAAACTCATATCAAATGTTGCCTCTCTTTCTTTTCATAGAGCCAAACAATATGCTAAGTGCTTTCCAAACTGAATAGATGCACAAAATCAGAGTGATTTACCTGTAGGATGAATAAAAAATGACCTGTGGCAACATCCAGCTGTCAAGAGAAAGGAGTGACTTGGCACTGTAATGATTGTTTTGTATTTTGTTTTCCATTTGTCTCAGTAATATATTTCAGTCTGATCTGGCAGATGGTTCTGTGTTCAGTTGCACACTGTTTTCTTTGCGTTTTCACACATATTTAAAATTGTGTTTGTGTAACTAATTTGGCACCAATATAAGGCATTCTGGAGAGTTCAGGGCCTTTAAAAAACAAACAAACAAAGCTTCTTGCCTGAATGTGGAATAAGTTGGCAGGGGTGCGAAGCCAACTTCTGGTCTCATCTTATTGCAGCAGAATGATGTTAACCAGACTATTTTTCAAAAGGCTTGTGAAATCTAGAGGAAATTCTATACAGAAAGCTTTAAAGACAAGTTTACCCTTTGAAGCCAATGGCTCCGAACTACACATGGAGGATTAATCTTAATGAGGACACTTCCATGCAGTTTGGTACAAATATTGATTGATTATGCACACTACGTTAGATTCCCGTAACATAAACCATCTTCAGTCCTAAACAGTGTTACTCTCCATTAAGTTTAAATAAGGGATTTTGCTAGACAAGAATTGTAAATTTTTCTTTTTATCTAAATGGTTTAATATTGTTTCTTGAATTAATGGAAATCTGCTAAAAATGAATGTACAATGCTATTTTATTTGTGAATAATAAATTGTGAAAACTGTTAAATGATAGGGAAAACAGGAGAAGTAATGCAGAAAACATACCAAATACTATTAGTAAATATTATCAGTACAAAAAAAGGTGCAGGAACTCGTTGTAAGATAATCATACATGGACATATTAGAAACTGAGATCACTGGGAAATTTTTGCACGTGTTTCTTTACATCAAAAATCAGATTTTGATTAGTTGTTTTCAGGGCTCTCTTATGCTTATTCAGGGCAAACATTTGAGCTGTTCCAGTGTACTCACCTGAAAAAAAATATTTTCAAGTTTCCAACCTAGGAAATAATCTGAAAGTGAATTACCAATTATGTGTAGGATTAAAAAAATTACATTGGTTAATTATGTAGGTCATCCAAGAAGGGAACTAAAACAATGCTTGGTAAATTACATAGCCAAACCAATAGAGAGCACAGGATATTCACTATGAATTCTTTTTGAATAGTATTCAGAGAGAACACTCTTCACAAAAGAAATCCATGAATAATTTTAAATAACAAATACATTCAAGAATTTCACAATTGGTTCTTAGCTAATTCAAGAACAACCAAAAGTGAAAATCATTACATAAATTAAGCATTGCAGTGTATTGGCTTG